TCAGTCAAGTGGATGTGATGACGGCGGCGGATGACGCATTAATCGCGCGACACAACTAATCGATGATGAAATACGTTGCCAACGCTTTTAAAAGTCGATTTTTATCGATTTTATCGATTCGTTGTTGCAGCCCTAGTAGATATGGTCAGCCTGAACCTGAGTTACTGTGTTTTTGTCACACGTGACTCTATTAGCCCCAAAATCCCTTTTACCCAAACCACAAGGAAATTATTATTATATTTTAACAGTATTTAAACAGTTTTCCACTTCTATTACACAAAGAACACAAGATCAAAATAACACTAACATACTATGGTTATGTTACACTGCAAGAATATATATGATAGTGTGCAGCACCACCATGCTCTTACTTTGAGCTACAGGTAGGGTGCACTGCCTGGTTACAGGTGTCCAGGTTTCTGTCATTAGTCTTTGTACATATACTAGTCTGCTGCTGTGAGTGGGATACCTCTTTATCTGGCGACCACTAGCTTGCTTGACGTTGCCAATGACAACGTAACTTCCATGAACTTGCGTGATTAGGCCTCAAAATAATTAGTAATAAAGTAAAATAAAGTCTAAATCATTTCCCAAATTATTCATCCATCCTTCTTCATGCTTATCCCAAGCAGGGTTGCGAGGGGTGCTGGTGCCTATCTCCAGCTGTCTACAGGCGAGAAGCAGGGTACACCCTGGACGGGTCGCCATTCAATTGCAGGGCAACACAGAGATAGACAAAAAAAACAGCTTTTCACACACACACTCACACCCTAGAGAAGCCATTCAACCTAACACCATGTTTTTGGACTCTGGAAGAAAGCCGGAGTACCTGGAGAGAACCCACACATGCTCAGGGAGAACATGCAAGCTCCATGCTGAAAGACCCTGGGCCAGGAACCAAACCCGGAACATTCTTGCTACCAACTGTGCGACTGAGCAGCCCCCTAAATATTAAAACATTTTAAAATTGTGCAAAGTTAATACATATTTTTAAAAATCTCCCTCTCGCTACTAAGGGTGCTGCAATACCCCCAGCACCCCCATTTCCTGTGGCTATGTGTTCTACAGCTTTTGCCTGATAGCGTATGTCAGTCTTAACCCTTAGATCTGCCTCAAGGACATGGGTGTTATAATTCTAGGCTTTTCTGTGATTTAATTGAACCATACATTTCTTTGATTGTGTCATTATTCAGCAAAAAGTTGCAATGCTTGTTTAAGTCCAAATATAAATGGCATGTGGATTTCCACTGATTGACCTCACTTAAAGTCCTGGGATTGAAATACCTTGAATTTGCTTTACCTCTTTAAAATGAACCCTGGGTAATTTCTGTCCTTTTTTGTTTACATTTCTCTAAATGGCTGTGGAACATTTCATTTAAATCAGCCTAATGACATATGGGAAGTTTTGAAGAGGACTGCTCTACACCTCCAGTCCAGGGGGTGGCGGTAATAAGAAAACAATGGCCAAATGACTAAATGCCTCTTCCTATTAAAAACAACAGGTGTCATTATTACTTATTGCTCCTTTGAAATTAATGTGGTATCAAGTAGAAAACAACGACTACGCGCAGGTTTTACATTTGACAAGTGAGTGGAATTCAAATCTGGAATCAAACTGAAAACCCTCCTTGTGCATGACTACCCCTACTCTACCTACGGCGCCAACTCTTCCAGTTAATTCAGAAAGTCCTGACTAATGCCCGACCAGAATCATGGCAGTAGTTCCTGTCTATTGTAAGAAACAGGGAAATTCTACTGTAGATTTAAACCCCGTTTCTGAATAAAAAAGGAAGCTGCCTGGATATTTGTTCCAACATGATAAGGTGCCCGTTTGCAGTCTTCAAGGTCCAACACAACTTAACCAAAGACTAAATTGCCTCATCAGCATTCAATCTCATCCCCAGGCCTCTACAGAATGAATGAATGAATGAATGCTTATGAGGGAATTCAACCATTCAATCCAGGTGTGTTGGATGCATCTAAAGGTTGCAGAATATCAACTGTTCATGACTGGACTTGGCTTAAAATAAAAAAAAAATGAAAGTTTTGTTTTAAATAATGATGTAAACCTCTGATTGAAAGGTTACGGTTTTATCCTAATTTATTTACCGTAACCTTAACAAGGTGAGGGGATTGAAAACCAGCTGTCATTTAAAACAACGGTCAAAACAGCTTAATTAGTAAGAGCGTTTTAGCCAAAGCAGAGATGCTTCAGCGTGTTTCCATGATAATTGCTGTCTGAATACTGCAGGCAGTAAGGAAGGAGGTAGGAAAAGAAGCCTATTTTCTGTCACCTGTTACTATGAAGTATGGTATTAGAAGAGCTTGATGGAAACAACTGAACTTAAAATAACTTTAATAAAATGTCACTTTTCTTTTGCACTCACTTCAGCTGGTTTTTTACTTTTGTGAAAAGCGTAATCGTGCTAAACGGAAGAGTTGAATGCTGTCCAGAATCTGCACAGCAGTCCAGATCCTCTTTTCCTATCAACAACAGAGTCCTGATTGTAGACCCTAGCAAAGGAAGGAGGAGATATATGCTATAATTAGACCAATCCGGATGGAGCCCTGGCCTGCAGTGGTTCTCTCCTGATCCTCAAGTACCAATGCCCTGCATGTTTTAGATGTCTGTCTTTTCCAGCACAACTAATTCAAATGATTGCATGACCAGCTCAGCAGCCACCAAGGTCAGCGAAAGCCTGTTAATCATTCATTCATATAAGTCGAGTGTTTAACATGAAGGACACGCTGAAAACATGGATTTAAAACCTCTACATCAGGGCTCTAAAATCAATCGTTTCTTATATTTCCTTATTTATTCATGTCTATTTACATATATTTAATTTTTTTTATCCCTTTTAAAAGCCTTTTTGTATAATAAATGTTTGGTTTGTTTCTTCTAAAAGAGATTATAATGATGCATTTCCTACTTCTTCTATAATATTAAAGTCTTTGTTAGTTTTAAGAAGAAAGACAATGATTTAACACGTATTCATAAATGTAATTTTTGGATCTAAGGTAAAAAAAGAAGAAGATGAAAAGTGAATTAAGTGAATTACAGGTTTAGTTTTGTCTGTAATTCTGTTTCTTTCCGGATTGCTGTGCAGGTTCTCCTCATCCTGTTTGTAATTAAACCTCATAAAATGCTTATATCTCTCAGGTGGAGTGAATTTTGTGCTCTGTTCAGCTCTAAGAAAGCTTAATGATATCAGAAAATCGTTTGGCTGGATTTTCTTCTCGCTTCATCCACCCTAGCTTTAATAAAACATCCTAGCTGGTTCTCCTCATTAAACTTAGTTACTTTAGAGAAAGCTCTATGACATTTATCTTCTTGAATATGCAGACGCTTTTGCATTATTTAGATTTCCATTTACTCATTTACTTAATGTGTGCCAGTCTTTTTTTAAGCTGCATTTTATATGTTCACATACTATCAAGCTGGAGGTGCAGGTTTTAAAGCTACAGTGTGTAATAATTACAGGGATATAAAGTCAGAAATTTAATATATTATACATAACTAAGTTATTTATCATCACCTATGAGCTCAGCCTTTTAACCATAATATTTGCGTTGCCTTAGAATTCGTTATTTATAATTACATAGGAGCGGGTCTCGCAGCCATGGAGGCAGACATCTTTGCGCTACGGCAAGCGCAGAGACAACAAACTAGCGATTGCGAGATCTCCCATTACGCTCGAAAATAACTACGGCAAGTTGAGAGAGATTAACGACGGTACTGAACAGTAGATGGCAGTATTATGCCTGAGAAGCGTTTAGTCTGCCTGAAACCAAAGAAGAAGAAGAAGCAGGTATACTGCGCCTCAGTAACAAGAAAGGTGAACAAGGCGGCAGGCGTGAGTGACTTTGCAAACTGTTCGGCACTGTGTGGCCAAACATCAGACGAATGGAGGATCATGCCTACTCTGTATAACAACGAAAAGCGGCGGACACCGAACCCCCGTCATCTAAGAAGCGGAAACACGACGAGAATAAACGCAAGCGTGACAAGAAACGACAAAAAACACGGATCAACATTGGCACGGCATTTACACGATGGAAGTCACTGATGGAGGAAAAAGGTTTTCAAAGTGACGCTCAAGTTGCCAGTTTTCTGTTGGACAGGTAATTAATCCTACACACACAATTGTCTAATATCACTGCAGTTTTTGGAGTACAGGATGCTCAGACCTGTCTAAAACAATAACATGCTGCGTGATGATGCTGCTACTCTCCAGTATACTTATTCAGCAACGTCCCTGACGTTTCACAGGTAATGATTCAGTAATTTTCTGTAAAATAATTTTCTGGATATATACCTCGGTTACTTCTCTCCGGCTCCTTTGGAGATCTTCAAGCCTTTTCTCCTCTGCTCTAGTCACCCCGCTGGCTCCCCTCTCTCGCCTGGCCCTAGCTGCACGCCCACCCCGGCCTCTCTGCCTTCTTCCTCGCCTTGTAACCCCCGTGCCACAAACAAGACTTGGACTCTGTAAACGGGGAATATATATTCTTCCAGCGAACACAATCTCGCTGTTAAACTAATGACTACAATTACTTCGTCTGTTTATATCATCATGCAAAGCAGCTCACCAAAACGTCACAACGACGTAGAAAAAATAACGGGTATATTTATTATCTAAAGTCTACATGAAATCTATACCCTACACAGACTAATGAAATACTATTTGTAAAATTATCTATGTAAACAAACCTCATCACTTGAGAAGGTAGGTCATTCCGACGTCGAGGAAGACATTTTGTCCCGTAACGCTCGCCGTACTGTTGGGGGGGAGAAGCGGTGGGGGGGAGATGTTCATGTTGCAGCAGTCTGCGGTCTGGACGTTAGATGTCGCTGAAAATTACACACTGTAGCTTTAATCTTCTACCCATTTTTAGATCGACAGGCATGTCTGTTATTACATGAGAGTTTTTGCCATGTGTTACTCTATGTTTTCAGTTAAGTTGTTGGATTTCTTCATTCATCTCGTGTGCCTGTATTTCAGGGTTACTATAAGCGTACTCCAGCCTACATGCCCATCCGCAGACGGGAGCGTCTGGGCTGTTTTCCTGTGCCGATGGTCCACTCCACCTTCCTGGTGGATCTGAGGAAAGAGGCCTCCGGTCAGCTGGCTTTTTACCCACCGCACCCCGAGTACAGCTGGGCCCTGGATGACGTTATCATCTTCGCTTACTCTGCTCGTATGGCAGGTGGGGAAAAATGCCTAAAATTGCCTCTACGTGTTTCAATCGGCCCGCACATGTCACATTGTTTTCATTTCTCCCTTTCCTCAGACGTGCAGATGTACGTATGCAACAGAGACAACTACGGGTATTTCCCAGTGCCGATGCGTTCACATGCCTCCATGCAGGATGAAGCAGAGAGCTTTGTGCACACTCACCTAGAGATCATGGGTGAGTTGTGTTTTTGTAAATGCGAGTATATTGAGTGTCATACGATGATGGGCATCACTGGTAGAAATCCCTTAGATTGATTAGGCCTAGGATTGCAGTAGCATGAAAAAAATCCCATGATAAGATTTAATCAAAATCACTGATTTGTTCCCTGACATTTAAATTAAATATAACATAAGCATATTTTGTGAATTATTTTGAAGCTGACCATAGTTAATTAGTACTTTTAGTGAGGCTGAAATCTCAAAGCAGCAACTCACTTCAAAGCATGAGATCTTTTAGTCATTTAATGTATAAATAAAACCTGTAGGGGTTATATCTACATGTTAATTGGATATTTGACAGTTATTCTAGAGAAAACGTTTTTCTGTTCTTCCATCTCAAATGCCATCATCTGAACTTTACTAAACTCCTGAAGTTTTAACTGAAACCGTGCTTTGGTCAAATGAGACAAGAAGAACAACTCCAGGTGGATTTGGTGTAAAACAAGTTAACTGGACATGTTTGTGTAATGTCACATGTCTAGTCTAGACGAAGTGGGCTCTGGAATCCTTTTGAAAAAGCATGGCTTCATCAACCTTTAAAAAAAGCAGGAATTTTTATAAGCAAATGGGAATGCTCTTTTGTCAAAAGAACTAAAAGTGTGAGAGCAGTTGGTCTTTAATCAGGAAAATTATCCAAAAGATCTGGAAAATTCTAGATAATGTAATGAAATAAATATAACTGAAAACCAACTTCTCTGAAATTGACCTGCAACGATTGAAATTCCTTTTTAGCTCGATCTCAAGTTCTAGAGTGTTGTTAGTTGAAACAATCTAAATCTAAAAGCTGCAGGATATGGGCCCCTAAAGGCTGATTAATACTTCCAAACTATGTCGTCTGTGTGTGTGTTGCAGTAATTGCAAATGTCTCCACCTCTGCCGCAGACGCTCTGATGCACCTCTCCAAAATTTTAGGTGACGCAGACAATGCCGCAGGCAGGAGGCCTCTGATTGGTCAAGTCTAAATCCGCTCTTCACTGTCCGTATTTCCTGTTTGGTACCTTACCAGCTTATTTTGTTTGTATGACTGCCATTGTAGAAAGCGACTCGTGAAGTTGGACTAGCTAGTGGAGCGAGGTGCGCGGGAACACTGGGACCTTTTTTCCACCTGGATCCCGCTCTTTTCCGAACCTCATGTCCCTCCGTTGTCGGACAAACTTTCCCCCACTTCCTCACCGCCTCAGCCGTATCTAGACACACAGCTAGTTTGTGATTGTCGCTCTGGCGCTGTGGCGTGGAATAACATAGCGCAGACTACGCTTCAATATTAGGAATAAATCAAAAATATCTGCAACAAGCTCACTGCAACACACTGCCGCAGGGAGTATAACCGGTCCTTAAGGCCTGGAGTTTGAGGCCCCTGATCTAAAGAGGAGCATTCAGCTCTTGCCAGTAACGGTTTCCCAAATATTTCCGCCTGAAATCTGAAAATAACAGTTATTTTTTAAGGGGTCACTAAGTTTCTATTAGGGGATAACCATTCTCTATTTGTTTAATAAAGGGAAACAAATTATGTATTTTTATTCAAATGAATTGCTTAAAATCTGTGTGTTTAATGATTTAATAATTAAAAAGCTAGCTTCTATGATTTAATTGGACATTTGATGGAGGATTTATTTATTTTATCAGGTATGTACGTATTTTATTAGACATTTGGTTAATAGTTTCATGATAAATTTATTTAATCATACCTATGGGGTCATATCCCTTTTTGAACCTGTTGCTATAGAAGTGTTTTAAGATAAGATTAGTGTACTCAAAGAAAACGGACTGATGGAAAGATCCTTTATTATTTATTTGGATCTCATGTCTTTAGTTTTAGGGTATTGCTAAACTGAAAGAAGCCAGCAAGTTCACATCGAAATGAGATTTAGTGAAGGGAAAATGGGTTCAGAGCTGGATCAGAGAATTATAAACATTTAGCTGAAGTTGGTGCATCTGCTTAAACTTCTACTGCAGCAGCCTTCTGTGCACCCTATGAATTATTTAAATATGCAAACCTGTGCCGCTCAACTAAACCGAGTATTGAATGCTTCAGTCTCAGCTGGCTGTTTCTATGGGTAGATAATTTAACCTTTAGTTTCACAGAGGATCAGAGAGGGAATCGTAATGCTCAGGCATTGGCAAAAGTTAAATAAACAGTGACATGTTTAATATCTTAACATTTAAAGGGATTGATTTGAGGATTTTTTTTTTAAATAAAAGCATTTATTAAAATAGAGATGGTGTAAAAACATGAAGAGGTTAGTGAATGTCAAGTAAAGGGTACTTGCTTTGCATTCAGGGCAAACAAAGCACAGATGCTGAGTATATGCAGATACAGAACAAAATGTAATTCAGCATATCCATTGCAGCATCGTGATTTAGACTTACAGCGGTCAATCAGCAGTGCTTGGAAATCGGTTGATTTTTCATGTGACGCAACCGTGGCATTATGAAGAGCACTGAGTTTAAACACTAGTTGTTGCGTTGTTGTTGAACTTTTGTTCTGAGTGGACTAGCATCTTTCCCCTGTGCTTGATCATTGTTTGGTTTGGTCAGAGTGTCCAAAACTTGTCCAAAAAAATTATCCGAGAACAGAGGGAGGATGATAGAGCATTCTGAGCTCAGACAGCAGGAGCAGGGAATCAGTGTGAGAACACCGGCAGAGAACACCGTAACAGAGATGAGGGGGCTAGTCACGCTGCCCTCTGGAGCTAAGGAACCACAGAGATCGCTGGGCAGACAGTTCACTGGAGCGGGGAGACAAAGCAGCTCAAGAGCGGAGGAGCACAGTGGTCGATAGAAAACCTGTCAGGGAAACAGCACCAGGGCAGGAGGAGGCTACAGCTGAATGATTCTAGCTGGGCTAGCTATGGAGGAGTAGAGGAGAACGGAACGTGGAATAAGTTCACGTAGCATAATGCTACGTTTAGACCGCAAGCAGGGCAAGGCAGCAAAAACTAATGTGCTGCTTCATTAAGTTTAGTTCTGACGCGCCGCTGAAGCATCTTTGCTGCTCTGGCTGAGTGGTGGTGGTTCTGATGCGCGATGGGCGGAGCTACCCTATCATCTCTTTGCCAGTAATAAAGGCAGCTATATTTGTTGTGATCAGTGGGTAAAAAGTAGTTTTAATATGTTTTTAAGTGAGAAAGTCCACCTGAAAACCTCATCTGTGCGGTCAGTTCATCCAGATTCTCATCCTGCCTTCAAATATTATTTCTCTGTCGGAGCCGCTCAGACCCTCACCTCTTCCCAGTTTGCTACAGCAGCTGGAAGGTGTTTTTATGTACATAATCCAAACTGCAGGAACCAGGACAATAAAAACAAATGCCGGCACATTTTGGCATTTTAAGGTAATTTAGGCATTAATAAACTGTTTCAAAGGAGTGATCATAGTGATCTCTTATCATCAGCTATGTGTCTCTCTCTCTGCCAACTCCCAGATCAGCTTCTCTGATTGGCTGATGTGGCGCGTCGAGCAGCAAAAGTTAAATTTTTCCAACTCCAGCAGCTGCTGCATTTGCAGGGGGTCCCGGGTGTCAGATGCTTAAAAGTTAACAACGCGCTGCTTCAGCTGCTCAAAACACGCTGCGGGACGTTTTGCTGCGCCTTGATGCGCGTCAACCATTGACTTTGTCTGTGAACTAGCTGATCCTGCTGCCTCTGCTGCTTTAGGTGTGAACGCAGCATAACAGTGGCTAGCTTCCACCCATGACTTCCTGCACGAGCATTGGGGGGTCGATTCGTTCACGTGTCTGGGTACGCGCACAGGGGGAAGGGACAAGCAGACTACTATGATTGACGTGTCAGGAATCAATCGTGTACATAGACCATCTTTTGTGATTGGTTGGGGTTATTCACTGTTTTCTCACTGTAGCGGGGACCATTTATTTTAGTTCCTCTTCCAGATCTTCTATTTCACTGCTTGCTAAGCAGCTGAGGAGAGATCTTTAGGCCAGATGGGGAAAAAAGCATCAGAAAAGGTCTCGTACTGCACCTTTAAATGCTGAAAGAGAAACCCACTCAAACCAGTTATTATACCAAAACAGTAAAATATGTCTAATAAATTTGTAATTAGAATTAAACCCCTTTTTGTCCTTTAATATGTTCTATCCAGAAGACCTCAAAAGGTACAGTGTTAGTTGGCTTAAGTTCTCTCCTTTAAGGAACCTTTTGATTATTAATCGATTAATCTAAAACAGAATCGACAGATTAATCGAATTGAAAAATAGGCATTGGTTGCAGCGCTAGGAGCTTTAAAACTAAACTGTAACTGTTGTTGGCTTTACCCTTTTTGCTCAAGCAAACATATGATTAGAGTGAAAACCTTGGAATCTTTTTCTAGACCAAACTCCCCTTCCTGTAAGCAGACATCTTGTTTTTCTAACATGGTGTGGGTGTGTTTGGTCCATAAGATCAGCAGTATACGGTGTGGTTACCAGCTCAGTGTACTGAGGTGTTGGTTAGTCGGTCTGTAATGTATGCAAAAGAACACACATTTCACTGATACTGATGTCTGTGTTAAAACTGCACCTTAACTCCATCATTCAAGCTCCAAAAAATCAAAATCTGTGATAATGTAGGTTGGATGCATTTGATTCTCTTTACTGAAAAAGTTACTCTTCCGAATCTTGCATTATATAATCTACGGTTTCGCTGTAGGAGCTCATTATTCAGTGTGTCTGTAATATTTTCCTTCAACAGTGAATCATCCTCCATTGGAGCCCTCCAGCTTCCTTTCTCTTCCTCCCAAACAGCCAAACAAGATGGGCTTTGATGAGGTATATTCACACTGCACCTGTTACAGACAGGAATACGCAACAACCTGAGCATGTGTGTGAGCGTGTGCCTTTTTTTGCACGCAGGTTTTTATGATAAATCTGGTTCGAAGAGCTGACCGTCGGGAGCGAATGCTGAGGACCTTGTACGAGCAGGAGATCAGCTGTAAGGTGGTTGCTGCTGTGGATGGCAAGTAAGTTTACTCATTATCTTCCTCTACTCTTGCTTGTGTCTTTTCTTATTGCACACCTTTGCAACATGTGGGCTTGGTGCCTGTGGAGCATCAAAACAGAAATGAACAGGCCTTTGAAAAGTAGCTGCTATTACTAGAAGTCTCTTATGCTTGATCATTCTTGAATAAGATATTTTTTCTGTTCGCACTGTTTAGTCAGCTTGAAGTAGGTTTAAATGTTTTTGTTTTTTTTGTGGAATACATTTGAAACTACATCTATAAATATTTACATAGAGTGTATTCAGATCTTATTGTCTTTGTCTGGTATTTTTACATGTTTTTCTTTTCCTGTTTTTTTCCAGGTAGGATTACCTAGATTATTTTCGTTTTCTAAATGCTTTTTAATTGGAGATTGCTTTCATCTTTTTATGGCTTACATCAGAGACAGGAGCCTACATACATGAAGATTACTGTGCCTTTATAGAAATTACGAAAGCCCCTGGGATAATCTCATGGTTTATTTAAATGGACGCTCACCTGCGGATGTTCAGCTAATGCAACACCTCATCATGTTGCTGTCTAGAGTTATTGCGGAAAAATCTCTCAAATCAGATTTAATAACAGGAACGTAGCTCTAGACATCCATGATGTTCTAGTACGGATATGAATAAAAAAACAGAATAGCAGTATGGAAGATAGCTCTATATCCTCTGTTATTATAAGCCACTTTCCCTTTGGCTAAAGGTTTTCTGTTTTCTTCCTTCACTTCACTATTTCCTTCCTTTCTTCCTTCCTTCCTTCCTTCCTTCCTTCCTTCCTTCCTTCCTTCCTTCCTTCCTTCCTTCCTTCCTTCCTTCCTTCCTTCCTTCCTTCCTTCCTTCCTTCTTTACTTTACTTTACTTTACTTTACTGTTTCAGTCTTTTCCTGTTCCTCAAGACAATGCACTGATTTGATAACTGGATTGGATAATAGCTCTTATATTCACTAGACTGAGACACATTTTATTTGTTATTTTGTTTGCAAAAGTGTAAAACAAAAAGAAATTTCGTTTGGAACAGCTCTATGGACAAATTCATCTTTTTTTAAATGTGCAGCCTTGAAAAATACTAAAAATTACTGTAAATTTACAGTTTTATCATTTTTTTTAAAGTTAGCTGTTTCTGACATTACATGAATGACAAAGATTTAACGTTTAGTATCATACACAGAAACAGCAGGCTGCTATAGTTTACATTACATTTTGAAATATTTGCAGTTTGCAGTGAGCTTTTAATCACGTACTATTTGTTGTTGCTAATGTATACTTCATTTGATAATATTCAATATAAATTCTTTTTCATTTGTTACCTGTTTTTTAACAATGTTTATCTCAGCCCTGATGCCTTCACTCACACCGCAAAGTACAGGGTTCATTCAGGCAACCATGGTAACGGTATCAGCATCACTCGATATGATGAACACAGGAATAGGTATCACATGGGATCAGAAAAAACAGGATCAGTTCTCTAATTCCTTCCTTTCTTCCTCATGTCTTTATAAATAATTCCTCATGTTTACCTTTCCTCCCTTCCTTTAAGCCTGTTCTTTTTTCTCTTCAGTGTTTTATAACAAGTTTGCAGACTGTGGAAATATCTTCCATAAATTCATAGTGAACTTTAGGGTTTTATATTTTTAAGACAACCTAAGGGACGTAATAGAATATTCTGAAGTTTTTACACTATAAACAGAAACCCTGTTTAAGGCTGAATAATGTGAAAGCATTTACTGTGAAACTCCTGCAACAGCTTTACCTAAATACCTACTAATAGCCACTGTATTACCTTATACTAAAATGTAAAAAAAATGCAGAGGTTTCCACATAATGAAGCTTTAGAGCTTCTTAGTCTGCAGAGAACAGAATATGAGGTTTGGCAGAGACAGCATATTGAATGCACTTTAAAGCAATAGAAAAAGGTCATTTAGTGTGATTAGTCCAGATTTATGCTCTTCCAGTCCAGGATCCAGTTAATGTTGCCCCTGTCAGGGTCTTTTTCCTGCACTACCTCCCTGTAGGGTGAACTTTATGATCTAGATTGGCTTCAGATAATCAGGTCCAAGATGGGTAAAATTAGGGTGAGCCGACTGCCAAATGCGTCATTAGGGCTTAACCTCTGCGACCATCCCGCTGTCTGCCTCTAAAATACAAACAAAAACCAACCGTAATACACAGCAGCTTTGGGTTCAAACAAATGCTCAGATCATCAATGCAAAGCCCACAAACAACCACCTTATTTATAAATCTAGTCTGGTATACAAAAATCTTTTCTTTTTTTTTCTTTTTTTAATATAGGGACAACAGCGCATCCTTGTAATTTATAGATTCAATTTCTAATCTGTTGGTGCTTAATCCGATCTGTTTCTGCCAGAGCTCTGAATACGTCTGATATAGATTCTATGGGGATTAAGATGCTCCCTGGATACAAAGACCCTTATCACGGACGGCCTCTCACCAAGGGGGAACTGGGTTGTTTCCTCTCTCATTACAACATCTGGAAGGAGGTGAGATACTTAAACACACCTGAGGCATTTGGGTCAATCTGCTCACAGCTGATAACAGTTTCTAAAACATTAAAGAAATAAGTCTGCTATTTGAAAAGTCAATTTTCTGAGACCAATTATTATTATTATGGCATGCAAGTATTTTTGTGTTTCTTGTTTTCGATCGAGAGTAACTTTAGATATGAGAAAATTACTTTGTTACTTTAGTTGGACTGAGTGCTAGCGACAGAGAGCTACTGCAGCTGCCGTCAAACCACCCTGCCATCTACTTCCCCAAAAAGGTGCATCTCAACGAATTACCCCAATGCTATAAATTAACTAAATACATAAAACTGAGCTATAGATTTAAATAATCCCAGCCTGAGTTAAGGCGTATCTCTCTCATAAATCCAAACATTGTCTAAAGCCAGTGAAAAAAAACTTTGGTTTTGCACACTGCAAAAAAATGAAATTTTAATAAGTATTTTTTTCTTAAAATAAGTGCATTTGTTCTTGAATTAAGGAGGTAAGTGAAACACTTTACTAATGGAACAACATAATTTACATTTGAAATAAGAAAAAAACAATTGCATTGTCTTATTTAATTTTACTGAGACTAGAGTTATCCAGGTTGGCACCATAGGATTGGTGTGTATCGGGCAGAGTTATATTGCCTGTAGATAATGGGAAAGGTTTTGCTGTTCTATCGTAGTAGAACAAAAGGCAAGGTTTCCGGGGAATTGTCAACTGCCCAAGGAGAAATTTTTGATTAATTGCTAAGAAAATAAGATTCTTTTAATCTTGCAATAAACAAAAATGTTAAAGACAAATTAAAAGATAACTTTTCTTTTTAGGGAGCAGAAAGGCAGTTCAGGTTTTGTTCCACCTGTGAACCAAAAGACCTCGCATTTCATCATGATGACCTCGCATTTTTTTTTATTTTTATTTTTATTTTATTCATTTTCTTTTTTTTCCTACTTGCTTTGATTCTGTTTTATCTTCCTATATTTTAATCATGTAAAGCACTTTGCATTGTCTTTGTACTGAATTGTGCTATACAAATAGATTTGCCTTGCCTTGCCTATTTCAAGTGCATATGATCTAAGTATCTTATTTTAAGAGTAAAAATATTAATTCCATTGGCAAATCATTGTATTTATCGACTCAAATTAAGGGTAAATACACTTAAATTAGGAAATGTTGACTTATTTCTAGATCGTTTTTACAGTGCAGTATATTATGCAGGAACAGTAAAAAATAAATAACTAAAGAACAGAAGAAAAGACATTTTCATGTATTGTACAGAACATTCCTACCAATCAAGCAAACCACTGTCATCATACCAGACATTATGCAGCATCAGCAAACATCAGTCCTGCTGGAGTTTAAATCAGCATCTTCTACAGATGCGCTTTAGAAAAGCACATTAATGTTGAGCATATCACCAATGCCATTTTTTGCCTTTACCTCCTTCAAAGGGCACAAGTGACTGTCTGTTATGCAGTCTGTAGTCTTAAGATCGTATTAGTCATATCCTTACTCTTTTGAATTAAACTGTTCTTGTTAATCTTTCTTAAAAAATCTGAATTGCAAAATCACAAAAAACATACAGCTTCTTGTTATAGTATTAAATCTGGGTTTCACTTCCTCAGTGGAACTACTTATTGATACTGCGTGAACCTTTTATAGAAGCAGTTTAAAAACACCTTGCAGTTTTTAAGAGAATATTGTTCTTTTTGTTATATTGGAGGAAAATTGAATTAAAACTGTGGCCTCTGGACATGAATAAATTCTACACTGGGCTGAATTTAATGTGAGGCCACAGGAGCCAAATGTAAATCAGGTCTGATACATATTTTAACAATCTCACAAGTAGATTCATTTAAAACAGAATTTGTTGGACTAAATGCACTTAATGTACTTAAGCCCATGTGTTGATGGTTTAGGAGCAGGTCTCCATGTGATATTAAAGCTTTAAAAAACCTTTGTTTCTCTGAGTGTTTAGATTGTGGAACGCGGCCTCCAAACATCCCTGGTCCTGGAAGACGACCTTCGTTTTGAGGTGTTCTTCAAACGCCGGCTCCAGGCGCTGCTGCAGGAAGTGACTACTCACAAGGTGGACTGGGATCTGATGTGAGTGAAGAGATGCACTCAATTAATTTCCCTTTTATATGCCATCCAGTATGTCGTATATGACTTCTCTACACTCTTAAGCTTATCTTCTGAGCATCTTCTTAGAAAAAAATAAAATAATTAAAGTTACTTTATAATCAAGACTTATATGCTATAGATTCACTCGCTATATTTACCCTGCTGTTTTACTTTCCATCCTTTTTGAGCCCCTGTGCTCCAATAAGTCCTCTAAAAATGCTGTAGTGTCACTGCTGATGCTGTGAAACCTCACAGAAACGAACCAAAACAGTCGTCTGTTAGGATGCAGCAAAAAAGTCTGGCAGGTAAACCTTAGCTGGTTTCCATTTGAATGGCCTTAAAAGTGAGCTTTCCCCCAAACAATCTCCAGGATGAATATATGTGAAAACAAGCCGGGTATTGTGAGGTAGGGTGAGGGATCTATGGTGCTATGGGCTTCCTCTTTTTACCTGGGGAGCTTGCTTAAAGTACATTGCATTATGAAACCTTATGTATAAAAAAGGTTCCTCTACCAGAAAAACTGAAAATTGGTCCATACATAGCTGGACAGTGGTGCAGTTTACTGTTGCCTAGCAGCAAGAAGCTCCTGGGTTTGATTCCCGGCATGGTGTCATTCTTCATTGAGTTTGCATGCATTCCTTCCTGATACTTGAGCTTCTTCCCACAGTCCAAAAACATGAGTGTTAGGTAGATTAGCATCTCTAACTTGCACATGTGGGTGTGCGTGATTGAGGGTCTCTGCCCTGCAACCTGTTCAGGGTGTACCCAATGTGTCGCCCATAGACTCTGGAGACAGGCCCTCCGTACTAAGCGGCAGATCATGGATGGATGGATGGATGGATGGATGGATGGATGGATGGATGGATGGATGGATGGATGGATGGATGGATGGATGGATGGATGGATGGATGGGTGTTTAAACAGGAAAACATAAAAAAATGGCCTTCTCAGTAGTACCAACTGGACCATTTATTTTTGTAGTTCCTGCTTCAACATGGTTCTAAGTGTGCATTTGGATAAAAACTAGAAGTCTTCTGACTTCTAGTCACTGATTCAGTCAGTCATTGCACATGCATATTACCCAGTGATGATATTATGAACTAATATAACCAAGTATTAATTGCTGTACCTTGAGCTTATTGTGTATATGACAACTATGACAAGCTAATATCAGGTAGCCTTAGCTTACCTTAGCTAGTATCCTTCAGTGTGATACCACTATATGGTTTCCCTCCCTCTCCAGTAAAATCCAGCGGTCTTCATATTATGGCCTGCAGGTTCAGGATCTTCTCTTCAATTATGAGCCTGACTTAAACCCACAAACTGTGCAGACAGTCCTCTGGTTTTAGTTGTGTTTGGTTAACATACACTCTGGGGGCCCTTCTCCCTATGATGACCATGCCCTCTATTGTTGTGGGAAAACACTTGTTATTTCTACAATTCAGAGAAAAGATAGGCTTGTCTACATCTGTGTAGGGATGACAGTAAATGTGGAACTCTGCTGTGAGCTGGTAAATATATGAACTTTATATTGAGGTGGGTCATACAGGGTATTTTTAGAGGAGCCTTTACTATTCTAACAGCTTTCACTGTTAACCGGATGCAATTAACTGTTGTTCAGATACATTGGACGAAAGCGGATGCAGGTGGACCACCCAGAGAAGTCTGTCCCAAACACCCACAACCTGGTGGAGGCGGACTACTCCTACTGGACGCTCGGCTACATGTTGTCCTTACGCGGAGCCCAGAAGCTCCTAATGGCTGAACCTTTGACCAAGATGCTTCCTGTCGACGAGTTTCTGCCCGTCATGTACAACAAGCATCCAATGTGAGTTTGCTCTGTCTGTTAGCTGTTAGCCTCCAGGTGAAGCTTTGCTCATCTACGATAACCTCCCTGGTTTTGTTCTCTCCCATCAGTTCGAAGTACATGGATCACTTTGAGAATCGGGACCTGCAAGCTTTTTCCGCTGAGCCTCTCCTGGTGTATCCGACACACTACACTGGAGATCCGGGCTACATCAGCGACACGGAGACGTCAGTGGTCTGGAACAACGAGACGGTAAGAACCGACTGGGATCGAGCCAAGTCGAGGAAGACCCAGGAGCAGGGGGAGCTGAGCTTCGAGGCCCAGAACTCGGACGTGCTGCAGTCGGAGCTGGAGAACGTGAGCGCGCGCGACGAGCTGTGAAGAAGAAAAAGGGAGGAGTGAAGGATGGAGGGCTTCGGCATACAGATAAGAGGGAGACAGAACAAAGCTGTGATGCAGAGTGCAGTGGAAAACATGGAGGGAACAGGACACAAAGCGATCAAATAAAGACAAAGAGGCAGAGCTGATGGGTGCTTTGTTCATGAGGAGGAACAGTTTTCCCTTGTAGATTTCTCGTTCCACTAATGGATCTTTCTCTTGAGAGATTAGATGTAGAGTTAACTCTTGAAGAGTCCGCTTACAGCTTTTGGTTTATTTATTGCAGCTGACACTCATGCCTTGCTTTAAGTGTGATCCAGTAAAAATATACTCAGTGCATCTCAAAAGCAATATAAGAAGATCTGAAAGAAAATGGCCACATATGGTTACATCTGTGCAACTCTAATAAAATCCTTACTTCATTATATATGCATAATGATGTTCAGTTTGGGTTGAAATGGAGACTTTGCAAAAATATTTACATCCAATTTTGTTGGATTGACTCCTCCGCTGTTTTATTCTTGAACTCCTGCATGTCTGCGATCATTTCTACCAAAAAATATTTTATTTTTCTAGTGAAACCAAATGATGAAATCCAAATGTTGTAACATGAGAAATATTTTTAACTATTTTTCTTTGTCTGATCATCTTTCGACCTTCAGCTTTATCTTTTTCTACCTGCCTGAGGTCTTGGAAACCAGTGTTTCTCTTTGTTGTTGCTTATCACCTTGTTTATGTAATCCCCATACATTTCTTACGCTTTTAAAGATGAATGTATTTGTGTCTCGTTTTGCCAAAACAATTTCACATTTGAACAGCAGCAGATGTGGGAAAGTGAGTTAGTGTTTTCTGCTCTTGATGTTTTGCTGTTTTATTGCAAACCAGATGTTTTTGTTGCATGTTTGTTGAAACAAACAAATATAAATCTTATTTTCAGAAAAAAAAACGGCATTCAGTCTCAGCTTTACTTATACAACGGATGTTTTTGATATGAAAGGTAAAAGGTGATTTGTGCACGTATGAAGGAGAACCTAACGTGCGCATGTGAACACGCCACCTACAGTGTGTAACATGGTGGCGGCAGTATCATCCTGAGGATATCCTTTATTAGAATGGGAGGGGTGAACCTAAAACAGGAAAATCTGGAAGAAAACCTGCTGAAGACTGCAAAGATTTATCTTCCAGCAGGAAAACTGAACCAAATAAATGTTGGTAAAGATTCTCCCCTGAGCATCCTGATAGCCTAAGTCAAACACACCTGGATTCTGTTTTTGTTTCACAGAAGACGTGTTTGGGATGAGAAGAATTTAAGTAAATTTTTTATGTTTAAGCACACGAAACTCCAAATTTGCAGTCAGAGCTGCAAAAGAAAATAATTCATTAGGATATGCTGAAGGTTGTTCCAGTGGATTCTACCGTGGAAGAACTGTAGAGGTATCAATACTCTACCAAGTGACTAAAATGAAGAAAATGTCGGATTCTGAGCCGCAGTGAAACAGCTGAGCTGAATCTGAGCAATCAGTGGTTTTATTCCAGCCCAAACATTCCAGCTCAGACTTGGTTTAATTACCACTTCCTGCTGTTTGCCCTCTCCATGATTACATAATGGTCAGTTTGGATTACAACAGGCCACAATTACTTATTCTCTATTTCTGTTCTCATCCATTATTCATTGTTGACCCCTGGAACTCACCCTTAGTATTCTGGACACTTTATGGATTCCATAAAAAAAAAGTTTCCTTCTTAATTTAAGAGAGAGAGAGAAATATATACATATATCTAATTAGACTGAGAAATAATGTCTTTATTAACTGTTGGAGAAATGAGTACACCACTGTGCATTATCTCTGCAATGACTCAAAACCCTATCACCCTTCATGCAGTAATTACATTTCTTCTCAGCTGAACAGTGGGGTGTTTGCTCCGTTATAAAGTTAAAGCTTGTAGTTTGCATTTAATTTGCTGTATTAAAATCACAGAGTCCCACTGCAACAAATCAAACGTCACTACAGCAGTGTTGCACAGAATATTTCTATTTTTTAAAGCCTTGGCTGATAAACAATGATCCTTTTTATTCACTTTATTAATATGTATTTATTTAGTTGTAAAACAGGATCATGCATATTCATTAACACAAGGTAAATATGCAGGATTATGACCGTAGCTCGTGATAATCTCCTGTCTCATGACAGGCAAAGCCAGCTATACGCAACTAGATAACACAAAAACAGATAAAAAGCACAATTACTGCAGACTATATATCTATCTGGAAAATGTTTTCTGTAGTGTATAAGAGTTTTCAAACATGCAAAAGTAATTGTCATGGAAAAATAATCATGTATATTCATCCACTATTATGATAAAGATGAGGCATGGTTATTTCATTCATCTTGCAAGATAAGACCACTGAATACCTTAAGTGTTGGCTCTTTGATCCATTTGATGTTGTCCAGATGGGCGAAATCTACCATTTCTTCACAAACCAACAGTAGAAATCTTCTCTGCAAGTGAAATGATCATGAAAACCTGCTTGGGAATTGGTGAGCAGGAGTAAATGCAGTTTATTTTACAGGACACAATCCAATTCTGTTCAGCAGCATCTCTTTTTTTCCAGCAATATTAGTGACAATAACTGCAATAGTGCATTTAGTGAACTGGATGGCACAGTGATTGTGGATTGCACTAGAACTTATGTTTCATATTTAACAAGTTTTTTTGGTCCTCACTTCTTAAGACCTTTTGGTTAGGTTTTTATATATATATATATATATATATATATATATATATATATATACACTCCTGATCAAAATCTTAAGACTAGTCAAAAAATTGCAAGTATTTGATTTTGCACTATTGAATCTAAAGAAGGGTCTAAGTAGAGCCTCACAATGTAAAAAGAAGAAATCAGCGTAAGAGACAAAAACTTTTGAGCGGGGAATTAATTGAAATCTGCATTCACACTCAAACATGATTTTTTTCAAGTATATGTATATGGTATAAATATACATGTAAATATATATACTGTGTATATATTTATATATATATACATATATATATATATGTATATGTATATATATGTATATGTATACCAGTTATGTTTAGGTTTAGGCTTTATGAATGGAAGTCAATCAAAGGTCCTTAGTGAGTTCTTAATATGGATGTATGTGTTGTACACAAAGTTTGTCAGCATGATATAGACATACAATAACCATGGGCGGTTCTAGACGGGGCCCAGCACCCCTGTAGAACAGCTCCTGGCCCCTGTATTAAAACCACTACAAACAATATAATATAAGTCATTATTCAATAGTCATAAATCAATATAAGCTGTTGGAATATGATGATTTAGGTCTACTTTAGAATATGAATAAACAAGAAAACATCTTTTTTTGAAGTGGTTAATATGTAACTATGTCATTTTAATGGCAAATAATTCTTGTTAAATTGGCAGATCATCTTATTTAAGGGAAAATACATTGATTTTAAGATGTGGTAACTTTTTTAGATGAGCTTAGCACTGTAATAATAAATCAGTTATTTATGAGGATTTGCCCTGACAGAAGATAAAACTGATTTGTCCATTTGACTATTTTAATATTTCACCTTCCTAATCTACTTGAACAGTTATTAAGAAATTACAGTCGCTTTAAAGGAATAGTACACCCAAAACATGATTAGCCTTCATTTTCTACTCACCCCCATGCTGAACAACACTCTGGAGTACTTTTTTGATATCTCAAATGCATCTGGAGATCTGGGAGGCTTCTTGCTGTCTGCTGACATTCAAATAATGGAGGTCTATGGCGCACGAGGCAGAAAGGTCCATAAAACTCCACATAAAACGTGTCAATATTCCTCCATACTGCTCGTCCAATGTATTCCAAGTGTCCTGAGTGGGTAGCGTCCATAATTTACTCGAAACGAAGTCATTTAGAATGTTTTTAGAGCATAAACAGTAGTGTATAGGATTTCCTAAAAGCGCGCGCCTGCGTGTTCACGACGCTACGGAAACCGCGGCAGACCAAACCAGATGAAAGTGCGCATTCAGCGTCTGTTCTGCCGATAATGCAAGCGTTGAAGAAGAAACGTGCTGTTTACCTGTGCAAAGAAAGAAACAACGAAAGAAAAATGTCTGAGGACTTCAGTGTTGAGGAAGAGCATGAGTTCTTTGCCGAGCTGAATGCGCACTTTCGTCTGGTTTGGTCTGCCGCGGTTTCCGTAGACTCGTGAACGCGCTTTTAGGAAATCCTATACACTACTGTTTATGCTCTAAAAACATTCTAAATGACTTCGTTTCGAGTAAATTCTGGATGCTACCCACTCAGGACACTTGGAATACATTGGACGAGCAGTATGGAGGAATATTGACACGTTTTATGTGGACTTTTATGGACCTTTCTGCCTCGGGCGCCATAGACCTCCATTATTTGAATGTCAGCAGACAGCAAGAAGCCTCCCAGATCTCCAGATGCATTTGAGATATCAAAAAAGTACTCCAGAGTGTTGTTCAGCATGGGGGTGAGTAGAAAATGAAGGCTAATCATGTTTTGGGTGTACTATTCCTTTAAGCTTCAGTCATGTTAAGATCAGAGTTGTTATCTGTTAGATCACGAGCATGAAACCTTTGTGGCTCACTTAATAAAGGTTTATAATGTAGTAAATAATGCACTATTACCCTGGACCCCAGCTTTGATTTCCTCTAAAACCATTAGTGACCATAAATTCAGCCATAGATTAAGAAAAGCAGCGTGCAACCCGTTGTATTAAACGAGATTAAACCACAAAACAATCTTTTTTTCCCATCATATCATTTTCATTGCTCATAATATTTTGGCTAGTATACCCAAAACTTTTTTTTTTAATCACTTGATCTTTGATTCCGTCAAGAATATCCCGGCCTTAAGGGTGCCCAAACATGAGATGTTGCGTTTTTATTCACAGTTATTCCATCACATGCAGCGACAGCCAGCTGAGGAAAAGCCAACAGGTCGCAGCATAAATGAAAAACTCCTCCTGACACATAATTTAATGTCATGTTACAACTGAGCGACGGGTGGAAATGGTTTGGCAGCGTTCGTTCAGTGGAGCTGAGCCTGCAGGGCGGCTAACAGGCTTTGGCATGCAATTGTGTGCACTCAAACGTTAATGTCCAAAAGGTATGTTAGTGTATCTCACCACGGGAGTGTTTAAGTGTGAGTGACGTTTGTGACTCAGAGTAATCCGATTAGATCTCTGGCTCTCTCCCCCTTCCTCTATATTTACCTCAGCTTTCTTTCTCTCTCTCTCTCAGATTATCCTCTGTGTTTACAGTTTTTGCTCCAGAAGATCAGTAAAGCATGTTTTCCACTGTGCAACCCGAGGTTCACCAGAACCAGCATCAAACTGTCAACTTTCTCGCCTCATTTCCTCGACTCTCTGTCGCATG